TAGTGCTGCCCACTTCTTTCCAGTTACAAGCGCAAAAACCTGCATTTATTGCTCTCTGGGCAGCTTCAGAATCTCCCACGTCTCCCAGGCCAGAGGGTGTCCCCAGGAGCCTTGTTTCTGAAAGAGGGACCCAAAAGTTGTTGAAGAAGAGACCCAGGGATTCCGGGCCTAGGCTTCTCTTCCAATTGTCCCTGCTAGTTGAGTGGGCCTGCCAGCCCCTCCTCTGAGCTTCAGCTTCCTTCCTGCCAATGCCTTTGTTTATCTGAAGCACCAAGTTTCCACTGGGAAGCCTGAAAGGGTGACCAGGGGTTCGAGACCCCCCCTTTTTTTTTTCCTATCTCATCTTCTTGACCAGAAGTCTTCCCATCTTCTTTTCTCTAATGATGTCATCTTCTTTCCTTCTCATAGATAGCTGGATGCTTGTTTGTTACTACTTTTCTGGGAATGTTTGACTGTGCTGCAGAGACACAAGGAGCAGAGCAGAAGGACTAAAGGAGTTGGTGTGGGACCTGGGCGCTACTGTCCCTCCAGTCGTAACTCCCCCAAACATGCCCAAACGGCTTCCTTTCAGGCTTTTCGCACTTACAGCGCCCATGGCAAGTCTTTAACTTTTAAGTGAAATGATCTTTAAAGAAATAAAGTTTCACAAAATGGATTAAAGGCTTAAATGTGAGACTGGACACTACAAATCTCCTAGAAGAAAACATAGGCAGAACATTCTGACATAAATCATGACAACATCTTTTTAGACCCATCTCCCAGGAAATTGGAAATAAAAACAAAAATAAACAAATAGGACCTACTCAAACTCAAAAGTTTTTGCTCAGCAACGGAAACAATAAACAGAACAAAAGCACAACCCAAAGATTGGGAGGAAATATTTGCAAATTATGTGACCCATAAGCGATTAGCTTCCAAAATATACAAACAGTTCATGATGCTTAACATCATCAAAACAAATAACCCACTCAAAAAATGGGCAGCAGACCTAAATAGACATTTCTCCAAAGAAGACACACAGATGGCCAATGGGCACATAAAAAGATGTTCAACTTCACTAATTAATCAAGAAATGCAAATAAAAACTACAAAGAGATATCACCTCACACCAGCCAGAATAACTATCATCAAAAAAATCCACAAACAATAAATTCTGGAAAGGGTGTGGAGAGAAGGGAACCTTCCTACACTATTGGTGGGAATGTAAATTCTTACAGCCACTATGGAGAACAGTATGGAGGTTCCTTAAAAAGCTAAGAGCAGAGCTGCCATATGACCCTGCAATCCCACTCCTGGATATATATCTGGAGAATATCCGAAAGGAAAGGTGCACCCCAGTGTTTGGGCAGCACTGTTTACAATAGCCAAGACATGGAAGCAACTTAATGTCCATCAACAGAGGAATGGATAAAGATGTGGTTCATATATACAATGGAATATTACTCAGCCATTAAAAAGAATGAAATAATGCCATCAGAAGTAACATAGACAGACCTAGAGAATGTCATACTGAGAGAAGTAAATCAGACAGAGAAGAATAAATAACTCATGAATTCACTTATATGTAAAATATAAAAAGAATGATACAAATAAACTTACAAAATGGAAAGAGACTCACAGACTTAGAAAATAAACTTATGGTTGCCAGAGGGAAGGGATAATGAGGGCATTTGGGATTATCATGTACACACTGCTACACTTAAAATGGATAATCAACAAGGACATTTTGTATAGCACAGGGAACTCTGCTCAGTGTTATGTAGCAGCCTGGATGGGAGTGGGGTTTGGGGGGAGAATGGATACATGTATATGTATGGCTGAATCCCTTTGCTGTTCAACTGAAGCTATCACAGCATTGTTAAGCAGCTATACCTCGATACAAAAGTTCAAATATAAAAAAAAGAAAAAAGAGTTTCAAAGGGTGAACTAAAGGAAAGAACAGTACACTAAACACTTAGCCTAAAATAGGAGGGAAAAAGCAGCCAGTCCAAAGTTATTTGATGGATATTCTGTATCCTGCCTGCTGTAACTTCATTCTTGCCCATGCCAAGTCTTAATTCAGCCTTCAATTTTGTCTTAAGAAGGTCTTTAAGGTTACAAAATCATTTCTCTATCCAACTCCTATGACCCTCTCTTAAGCATCTGAGAACTTAAACATCCCTCCAGAGAGAGGATATCAGGAATTTCCAGCCTGCACTTTATATGACATCTAAATAATGACTGCAAATGAATGACAATATGTACAATATCCCATGTGAACTAGATTGGGCTTCCTCACAACATGGCAGCCTCAGGAAGGTAGGTTGTTTATATAGAAGTTGAAGGTAACAAGAGCATATATTCCAACAGTCAAGTTAGAAATATCGTGACTGCCTTTTTTGAACTTGCCTTGGAACTTACATAGCATCACAGTCAGAAAAGCCAGTCCAGCTTTGGAGGGAGGAAACATAACCCCCACCTCAAGATGGGACGAATGTATAAGGATTTATGGACGTACTAAACAATATTGACTGACCCTCCCTTTTGTCTTGCAATTAAGTTTTCATCACCCTGATCTCCAGTTCTTCTGACTGGTCTATCTTCAGGCGACTTCCATATTGAAAATGTTGGCAGGTGAGGTAGCTGGTCTCCACAGATGGCCCGTTAACAACCAGTCCGGCCAGCACAGTGCTCCTGGGCAGTCCCCGAGTCTGGACTGGCTCTGTGGAGGGAGTGATCCCATGTGACGTCCAAGAAGCCTTGCTGCTTATACTAGGGTCTTTTGAAATGCCCGTTCAGGGGAACGTCAGCCACCACGCAAGAAGTCTAATCTGAGACCACCATGCTGTGAGGAATCCTATGTGGTTCACATGGAGGAACTGCATGAAGAGAACAAAATGCTTGGTGAGCCCCTAGAGATTTCAGCCCTCTCAGCCTGGATGGCAGACCCGTAAGTGAGGAAGTCATGTTGGATGTCCGGCCTGGTTGAGCATTCAAATGACTCTCGCCCAGCTACTATCTGACTGCAAACACGCTTGAGACATCAAGCAAGAATTATCCAGCTGGGTCTAGACAATCCCCAGAATCTTGAGAGATAATAACAAATTGTTACTTTAAACCAATAATTGTGTGATGGCTTGATAGCAATAGAAACCAGGTTCTATCCATGCCGCCTCTGAATGTCTCCCCAGTCTGGTCCTCCTAGGCAGAACTTTGGCTTCAATATTTGCTAAGACAAATCTTGTGGTCTGGTCAGAGCAAGGGCTCATACCTTTAGAGAAGTTGCTCTTGGACGTTACACTAGACATGCTCACAAGGAACCATAAAATAAAGGTCAATACTTCCCTGGAGGCGCAGACAGTAAAGAATCTGCCTATAATGCAGGAGACCCGGGCTTGATCCCAGCGTTGGGAAGATCCCCTGGAGAAGAGAATGGATACCCACTCTAGTATTCTTGCCTGGAGAATTCTATAGACAGAGTAGCTTGGCAGCCCACAATCCATGGGGTTGCAAAGAGTTGGACATGACTAATCGACTGACACTTCCACTTTCACAGAGAAAAAGTGCCATGAGAACTTGGGAAAAAAAGAGGATTAATCCAGCCTGAAACTGGTGGGTCTGAAGAGGAGGTGATATTGAATTGGATCTTGAATGCCAAGAAGGAATTGTGGCTTTATTTTACAGAAATAGGGAATTATTATGAGTTTCTGAGCAGAAAGGTGTGTGATAAAAGACTTATTTCAGGAAAACTAGTCTGCAAGCAGTGTATACATACAGTCAGTTGCATTTGGGGGATACTAGGCAGGAATGGTCTGTGATGGTGAGGAGGCCAATAAAAAAGTATTATGACCATCTGCAGAAAATGAGCTTGCACTTGGTGTGGTAGTAAGAAGAGGGTAAAACTAGTTTTAGGAGACATTCCAGAGGTTCATATGACCCTGAAACACTATATATTTCACACACGTATTATATGTGAAATAGTAAAATTATGATACCAATTCTTCCATCCATGAAAAAAATGAAAACAAATAATTCTAAAACTTTCACTTTTGAATAAATGTCATATTTAAAAGAAAGTACCTTTAAAAAAACAGTTTATGTTCTGGAAAAAAAGAGAAAGTAATTTATATCTGTAACTTTATGTACCATCAGAGATTACCCTTTTGAACATTGCTAGAAAACATTTCTAATATATTCATATTGATTTACAATTTTTGTTACTTATCCATCCCTTTGGAATGTTAGTAATGAAAGAAGCTGAAAAAAAAAAAAAAAAAAAGAAAGAAAGAAAGAAAAATTCAGGGCAGCATCATTACTAATTTTAAAACCCACATTGGCAGCTGGTGGCACAATGTGGTTGCTCCAAACATTTTTTAAAGTATGAGCTCCCTCTAGTGGCCAAAATAGTCCTTATCACCTGATCAAATCTGTGCCACCCATTGATGTGTAATTAATTTTAATGGTAAAAAAGTTTAACTTCTAGAACTGAATTTGTACTTTAAAATATTTCTTTGCCATGTTCTGAATAGGCTCAATAATATTCACAGTAAATTTAAACATTTATTATCGTTATGATTTGTAATTATCAGTTTTCAATAACGTGTTTATTGAGTTTCAGTTCACACCAAAATGCAATTATCACCTAATTAATGTACAAGCTAATTTCCTATACATATTCCCAGGAAGTGGGGTCATCATTTGTCACTCTATTAAACGTCCTCATTGATGAACCTATAGCCTCTTAAAACTAGTTCAGTTTGAAACGATTCCAGAAATATACATTTCCCAACCAAATCCCATCATTCCTTGCAGGGAGGGATCACTCTGTTGGATTCCACTGAATCACTTTTCCCACTGAGGGACAGAGTCAGACAAAAGCGGGATTTGGAGGACTTAGGGGAGTGAAATGAAAGATGAATACTGTCTACCGTGTCTGCTGCGTGTCAGGTGTTTGGTTTTATGCTTTACATCCACTATCTCACTTGAAGCCCTAGAGGGATGATATTTGGTTCCTCTACTATTTAACACAAATTTTCCAGACTCTTACAAGTCTTAATAAGGCTTAGAAGAAAAGTAGCCGTCATCCTTGCATCTCTGAGTTTAGGGTACACAGAGCCAGGTGGGAGACCAATAAGGATGCAGATGAGTGTCCTCACTGCGCAGGCGGAAATGCAGGCACTGGGGAACCCCAGGAGGGGCTCTTCAGCCCAACTGCAGAGGAGGAGGGTGGCAAGCAGCAGGGGGAGCTGCCTTGTGGAGCAGGGGATATGAGCGGAGTCTTGAAGGATGCTGAGGAGCTGGCCCGGCAGATGGACAGCACGTGCAAAGGCCTGGAGTCAGAAGAGAACGTCAGTGCGGGTTGGCTGACACTAAGTGGTGAATGGTTAACATTCCATTTTCAAGAGACCAAGTCGACACTCAAAGAAGTTAACAGAGAATCCTGCTGAGAAAAAAGTGAGGCCTCGGTGATCGCATAGCTGCGAGCTGCTCACCTCCAGCTTATGTGCTGGGGGGATGTGACAGCCCTGATAAAGGTGATGCCAGGAGAAGCTGACGCCAACATAAGTAATTATGAGGCCGGCTCTGCAAACACCTCCCTCTCGGAAGCTAATAATGGCTGGAGTTGCGTGTCTGAAGAAACAGTGTGAACACCAGAAGTGATGTGGTAGCCAGTTATGATGAACGCAATACAGCTCGCTTTGGGAGGGAGCCTTGGGAATGGGTGGAGAGGGCCGCTTTCCCTTTTGAAAGCTGTCTGTCCAGCCTTAGATCCTGACCTTAAAATCCATCCCAGCTGCCTCATCCCAGCACTATGACTGTGGAACTGCGTCTTCTAGCCCGCTGGGACCTGAAGTGAACAGGAAACACAGATGTTGTATGTAGTCAAAGGTACTCTTGAAAATACCTTAAATTATCCAAAAAGTGATCCACAGAAACATGGTTTTTATATACAACCCAGTGCAGTGAATTTTACAAACCCTGCAGTGGGAGACCCACGGAACTAAACTAGAAGCCTCTATGACATGTCTGGGTGTTCAAACCAATCTTCCTTGAAAGACATCTGAACAGACCCCTTCCTCTCGATTTTCATAATGCTTATTCCTCTCACATTGTCTTTAAAGCTACTTTGTTTTCTTCCACTTGTATTGAGGTATAACTTACACATAATAAAATTCACCCATTTTATATGTATAGTTGATGAATGTTGAAATTGTACAGTCTTATAGTCACCACCATAAGATACTAATATAAAAACATGTCTGTCATCCTGGAAATTTTCCTTGTGTCCTTCCTTTGAAGTCAGCCCCCTCCTCCAAACTCTGGCCAAAGACAACCTCTGGTCTTTTTATTGCTATAGTTTTGCCATTTCTAGAATTTCATATAAGTAGAATCATAGAATATGTAGTTTTTTTATATACCTTCTTTCAATTAGAATAAAGGTGTTGAGGTTTATCCACGTTGTCTGTGTGTATCAGCAGTTTGTTCCTTTTTTGTATTTAGTGTTGATTGCTGCCCAGATTCACAGGACAAATTACAATAAAATTTCAAAGACTTCTTAGACTTTGCAGTCGCTGAAAACACAAGGTATAATAGACCTCAATGGCCTTAACGAGGAGGCCTGAGATGAATTTAATTACTGGGCCCCAAATGCTGTTAGATTCACAGCTTGTAAGACTCAATGTGGATATAGATAACTGTTGGACATGACATCAGTAAGCCATGTCGAAGCTATTTGTCACTCTGAAGTTTTGTTAAATCTGTAAAGAAAGGACCCCTGTCTCATGACTCGTTGGGTATCTTGCTGTGCTCCCGAGAAGGCAGCTTCTGCTGACCTGAAAGAGCAGGTGAGAGAGGGGCAGTGCATCGTTTTTCCTCTTTCCCTTAGCAGCCTGGCTGCCAGGATCACCGCCTGGGTCATCTGAGGACTGACAGTGAGAGTGTTCTCCAGGAGGCGGGAGCACAGGTGGACGAGGCCACAGCCAGGACCGGGGACTTCCTTGGAATGAAGTGGATGGAGGTGAGCTAAGGAGGACCAGAGACTGAGGTGTGGGTCTAAGAGGAAGGGTGGGGTTTATTTGTGTAGAAAGCATGGATGGCAAAGTCATTACTAATGATTCTAAGAGACAGCCAGAGAGAAACTACTGCAAGCAGACCACCCAGGACAACCCAGGGCCTACATTGTGGAGGGTGCCCTCTGCATGAACAGTGCATTTGTCAGTGGGAAACTTTGTGCAAAGGTCCCAAAGCAATTCCTGAAAAGTACTATTTTATCTTGTGTTTAGAAAGATCTAGACAAGGATATTTGGCAATGACTATAGTAGGTATAATGCAGCCCACTGCCAGGCTTGGGTCTTAGCTCCCTGCAATAGTGTTTCTCAAGAAGACGTGAGCAATTTTCTCTCTGCTTCAGTGTTTATAGTTATTACAGAAGTATGGATAATAATAACTTGCATAGTACAGAACAGTGAAAGATGATTGTAAGTTGTATACTACTGCAATTAAAAGCCCAAGATTGGTAAAAATCCCAGTTCTGTAGCTTCTTACCTTTAAGGTGATGATCAAGTCACTTAATCACTTTGTGCCTCAATCTCCTGATCTGGAAAATGGAAATAATAATGATAATAATAATATTTATCTCTATAATGCTGTGGAGAAGAAACAATGTAAGTATATGACATGCTTAGGTTGATGTTTGGCAATAGGAACCTTGCAATAAACTATAGTTGTTGTAATTACCATTAATGTTGCTATTATTATTGTTGTTATAATGAGTCTGGCCTTATCTTCTACTTCTCATATTTCCTCTGTTAACAAATCTTTTAGCATAAAATCTAATCTCCTTCTTGACCCAGACATTTTCATCTTGATTGAATATATGTACACCTGTTGGTCCCCAGTCTCATCATTATGCAATCCCAGACTTTTGACCAAGTGTATTCAAAGCAAGTAAGTTTACAGTAAATACATTTGTCATTTACATTGTCAGATGGCATATTTTTCCCCGAGAATCCTGATATTAAAAACATAAAGCATTGTTAAAAGCATTAAATGAAATAAAGCTCAATATAGCTACACTAATCTGTGCTTTCTAAATTTACTGATAGAAGTGAAGAAAGTAGGCTGGCATGATTTTTGTGCCATTTCTGTATCACACTAACCTAAATTCAAACAGTGTGTTTAGATAAAAATAATGTTCCCTCCAAGGGAGCTCCTGACTTTGCAGAGAAAAACACTTCTGCGAGGAATATTACTTACACAACGAGCACCTTGTGTCCTGGAGGAGAAACGCTGCAAGCACATCACCACCACATTCTCCAGAAGTAGATTCTTTGCTGCCCAGTCACCACCAAGGAGGGACAAATGGCACCAACAGCTTAGCACCACCAGGCACCTTCGTGGGGTCAGAAGTGGAAGGGTGCTTGTCTGACCAGTGCTGACCTCCTGTTGTGGCCAGGCTGATGAGATGGAGTGGCAGGCAGCAGGCAAGAAACCAGAACCACAGCTAACAGGTGGCTGGCCAAAGCTCCAGGGACAGAGGAACCACCCTAGAACTCCGAAGAAAATAACCACCTGGGAGGTTCTTCCTTAGAGAGACAGAGGATTGTTAAATTTATCCAGATGTTAGGGAAACTATAACTTTATTTTTCTCTTATTCAGAAACAACAACCAAGAAAAGCAGGGACTTCCCTGGTGGTCCAGTGGCTAAGCCTGCACTCCCAATGCAGGGGGCCCAGGTTGGATCCCTGGTCAGGGAACTAGATCCCACATGCCATAACTAAGAGTTTGAATGCCGCAATAAAGATCAAAGATCTTGAGTGCTGCACCTAAGACCTGGCACAGCCAAATACCTAAAAAAAAATTTTTTTAAAGAAAGAAAAGCAGTGTTCTTAAGAAATATATTTTATCAATTATAACATTAGAAAACATACTTCTTTCCTAAATTTACATTTACTTTCTTCCTAACTTACTTCCTCATTCCATATGCAACCTTGTGGACTTAGGATGGTGATTCCTCAGGGCCAACTGTACACCTCCCTGTCTGTTCCCCCTGCTAGGTAGGAAGATATTTGAAGCCACATTTGTGTCTGCTTGATTTCTGGAGTGCATAGGCCAGCATCACACACTTTGTAGGTAACTGAGGAGATTCTGATTAGATTAATGCTTCATAAAATGAAACCATCAGCTCTGGTTTAAAAAAACCATCATTCTTTTTTAAAGTTAATTTATATTGGAGTATAGTTGGAGGAGGAAATGGCAACCCACTCTAGTATTCTTGCCGGGGAAATCCCATGGACAGAGAAGCCTGGAGGGCTGCAGTCCATTGGATCACAAAGAGCTGGACATGACTGAGTGACCGAATGGCAGCGGCAAGGGTATGGCTGCTTTACAATGTTCTTACTTTCTGTGGCACAGCCAAGTGAGCCAGTCATGTGTCTCCGTATATCCCCTCCTTTTTTGTTATAATTCTCATTTCAATCCACTTACCTTTACACCAAGGTAAAGCTGGCAGAAATCTACGTAAAACTGGCAGAAACTAAATCTTATAATAAGCTAGAGTTAGCAATAATAGTCTCTACATGTATCTTGTGTTTTCAATCCCAGATCCCAGAGGATTTTAGAAAGAAATGTTATATTTTTTTCTTTTTAGTGGAAAAATAAAAATCATGAAAAATGAGTACAATTTATGTGGTGGTTTAGTCGCTAAGTTGTGCCTGACTCTTGAGACCCCATGGACTGTAGCCTGCCAAGCTCCTCTGTCCATGGGATTCTCCAGGCAAGAGTAACTGGAGTGGGTCATTGTTTCCTTCTCCAAGTACAATTTATATAACAGTCAACAAGAAGCTTGTAAATAAATTATGGAAATTGATAAAATGGTACACTATGTAGTCATTAAAATTATGATAGGGCTCTATATTTATTAACAATGTTATCCTTGGAAAAAATTTTATTAAAAAAAGCAAAGTATGTATGATAGAATACCTGTTTTGATAAAAATACATATGACTGTTAGTGGAAAAATATGTAAGAATGTATGTTTATAAATAGAAAAATAATTTCCTCTCAGGTTGGCAGAGGGGAGGGACACCTTTTAAGTGATATGTATATATATATTTGGCTGATCTGCATAGCTTGCAGGATCTTAGTTCCCCAACCAGGGTCCAACCTGTGCCTCCTGCATTGGGAGCATAGAGTCTTGACCACTGGACCACCATGCAAGTCCCTAGATATTTGTTTCTATATTTTATATATTACTATATTTTCTGTTTTTAAAATAATGGAAAAGTATTACTTTATAGTCAAAAACACTAGTTTAAAAGAATATGTAGTGTCGCTCTTAAAGAAAATATTTTTAAATTACTCAAAATCTCATCACCTATAACTATGTAAATACTTTTTTTTATAGAATTTGTATTGGTTAGTTAATGTTTTGTTAGAAACTACTTCAAAACTCAGCGCCTTAAAATGCTAATCTATTATTACAGCACCTGAGTCTGTTGGGCCGCTTGATCTAGACTAAGTTTGGCTGAACGTTATGGGCTGAACCGTGTCCTCCAAAACTTCATAGTTTGAAATGCTAACCCCTAGTACCTCAGAATGTGACTGTTTTTGGAGTCAGTGCTGTTAAAGAATAAATCACGTTAAAATTAGGTCGTTATGGCAGGCCCTATTCCAATTCCGTTGGTGGCCTAACAAGAAGAGGAGATTTGGACATAGACATACATAGAGAACACCATGTCACCTTGAAGGCTCATCTAAAAGGCCAGAAGAGAGGCCGGAAGAAACCAAC